TCTTTGTCGACATAAACCTGAGACAGCAAATTGTGAAAACGAGATATTAGGTCACATTCCGGTTAAGATCAGATTACAGAATTTTCTCTTAGCTATTGCATGTTGGGATTCCTCCAATCTTAACTCTGAATATAGCATTATAAATTCAAATAGATAAAAAAAATATCAGCAAGCATTTAATATCGACAATATGACGAGATCTCCAAAAACATATTATTAAAAGTGCAATGCTGATAAGTTGCAGGTGTAACCTGTAACATTCCAATATATTAGATATCGATGTTCTTATGTTACATACTAGAATACCTTTTTTGCATATTTTATGGGTGTGTATAATGGGCCAGTGGCCTATATTACAAATGAACACCATTACTATAAATATCGTTATTATTTTATTGTTTATTCAAATGCAATGCAGGATAATAAATTGAACTTGTTACTAACATTGTTATGGATGAAATCGTATATTCGTTATAATACACAAGGGAAGCAAAACAACAAGGTGGTGATTAGGAATGTAGTTTATATAAACTTATGACCAACACTGCTTTTGGCATCACAGTGGAAAATATAAGAAATTGAGTAGATGTGCAGTAAAACAGAACAGAAGAAACATGCATAATTTTTCTTTTATTTCCACAAGTCTTCATTTTCAGCACACAAAATTATTATGTGAATAATGTGACGGCATAAATATGAGACAAATAAAAATAATGCGAAAATAAACCAATATACACTGGAAGAGCTATACCTGACCTATCACAATTATTAACGATTAATGTATAACTTTATTATTATCATTTAAGAGCAAACTATGGTGATAAAATTAAATTGTTACATACTGACAGATTAAATATTACTGAAAATAATTACAGATGATTAAAATGAAGACATGAGAAAAGACGTCCATCCTTATGGTAAAACTGAATATAGCAAAGATCCCTCCCTAAGGTGTAAATTATGTAATATTTCTAATAAACTGAAGGATGAGGCAAATATTAAAACTATAATTTAATTATAAAGATTAAAAGCAAACAAAATGAATTAAGTTATATTATATTCAATAATAATAATAATAATAATAATAATAATAATAATAATAATAATAATAATAATAATAATAACAATAATGATGATGATGATGATGATGATGACGACGATGATGATGATAATAATAATAATAATAATAATAATAATAATAATAATAATAATAATAATAATAATAATAATAATAATAATAATAATAATAATAATATGACAATAACAATAACAATAATAACAAAGAGTAAATAGTGTAACTAATCGTATAGCAAAATCAAATTTACAACGTGAGTTACATCAACATACTTTATTTCATGGGAAAGAAATAACAAGTCAAGTGCACTCAGTAAAATCCACCAAAACATAAATTGGATGATATGAAATAAAACAAAAAATATTTTGAACTTTTACGCATATTAGATGGTAAAATATAAAATAGTGATGATATAATGTATTTTCCTTTATTTATTATAAATCTTTTCTAAAAATGTATTATGAATTATTTTAAATCATTTTGCACTAAAATGAACCTTTAACTCATATTATTTTTTATTTAAAACATTTTAGATGAAATATAACTAAGATTTTAAGAAATTAAAAAATATGTAAATCAGTATAGAAAACTGATAAAACAAGTCGCCCAAAATTGTAATCCCTCTCCCCCCAGCTATTCCAAAATCGACACTCTGTGTTGCATATATATATATATATATATATATATATATATATATATATATATATATATATATATATATATATATGAGCAATTACATTATTTTAATAACCAAAGAATTTTGATAAATCAAGCATAATTAAGCTCTGTTCATCCTAATTTGCAAGGGCGGATCTGAGAGAATAACACCTGACAAGTCATGTACAAATTTTATTCCATCAAAATAATTCGATATTAGAATCCTGCCAATTTAACGTTTTCCATTTGCAAAGAATAGCCTTGATTGAGTCTCTTCATTGAGGCAGAATCAGGCCTAGGCTTTACTGGCGATATCAGGATATCGCATTGAGCGGGCATTTATTGGTCTAAAAGATTAAGTGCCATGAAAACTAATCAAGTCAACTAAAACATTACCAGCGGTTGGAAATGCAAGTAAAGTATCAAAGATAATTTGTCATTTCAAAATAAAGCACATGTTATTAAAGATTTGAACGTATTAGCAGAGTGAAAAGCCAGTCCTTTTGTGCAAACTCACGACAATGCTGACAGTCCCTGTGGTATTCCACTCTGTTTGCAGGCGTCACGTGCGCATAAAAAGGATGAAAACCGCACGGCCTAGCTGTTTCCGGTTTTAATTTTACATAAAAATCGGAATAAAGATGTCTTCGTTTGGTACTTAGAGCTTATAGACCTCTAAAACAGTTTCTAAAGCGTCGTTCAATACATCGAGTTGATCCCAACACTTGGAACATGGACTAATGTGCCGTCTGAAACGTCCACAAGTCGGTCATACACTTAAGGCCAAGAGATAACTCAGCTAAATCCTGGTACGAGTATATTTTGGATTTTATCGTAGCTGTAACAATTTTTCCATCATATCGCAACGATGTCTACGGTGTCGCAGTTCATAGTGATGCCTAGCAGTGGGACATTATACCGGAGATATGTGGCATGATGTCCCACCCACTTACTTTATCCTGACACCAGGCCGACCAGTCCTAACACTAACCTCTTAATTCTGAGCGCTTAGTGAGGCACCTGTTAGTAACATTTGTAGAAGTTTTTGGCATGACTCGTCCGGGGTTCGAACCCGCGACCTCTTGGATCCGGATCTGTTGCTATTACCACAAGGCCATGCACGAAGGTAAAAATAAATGTCGAGAAGTACCTGCCAGTATATGTGTACAGCCATACAAGACTGAATAGTATAAAGTGTAAGTAAAATAAAGAAAATACTTAGATGACTGAGTGCAAACTGTATTGGTATGACTTCCATCTGAATAGATAAAAGCATAGTTTATGATCCTACCGTTGACTTCGAGATGCAATTCTGGTCAACCATAAATGGCAAATAAATGAAGCAATGTCTCTATTTTAAGATAATTTAAGCTGTCTGGTCATTGTATACATGTACGAAAACAAAAAATTAATTATAATTACACTGATATAAAAAGTATTAGTTTTTGCAACATGTATCGTGCATTCTCTGCGTAAATATATACACGGTACAGACGACTGTCACAAATTTTGTTAATGAGAAAGGTCAAAAATAGCTAAATAATAAAAAGTGATTTCAAAGAAAGACTTGCAAACGTGCTATTTAATTGGCGCGATTACCCGCAATCTTATGGCTCTTAAGTAAAACCGAAATAAAAGGCTTCTTGAATGCCCAAAGCTGTCACTTTTCATGTTTATTTCAAATCTATTCCCAGTTTCCTATTTTCAGTGGTGCGGTCTCAAAATACCGCCAAATACGTGAGAGTCACATCCGATTCAAATGTTCTTCAGTTATAAAAATTTCCTATCATGCATTTTTTCCCTCGTGTATTATACGTGCCTGTATTTGTTTTCGAAAGATTTAACCATTTTTATCGGCAATGAATTTATGTGATCGCAAATTGGGATGTTGCGACGCCGTTAGTTTGTGCAGCATCATGCCAATCGGGATCCATGCTGGACCATGCAGTTTTCACTTAAATAAGGCTTACGGGGTCAGAATGAAAGTATATGCCACAATCTTACTGATAAAATATTTGATCAGTGATCTATAATCGTAATGTCCCTATTGATAGTATGCTGAAGTCGCATACTATCTTAATATCCTGAGTGGCAGTGCTGGGATATCCTAGTAGCAAATGCATATGCTAGGATATCTACTATACTACGGGTACCGCACTTTCAAGGCTCACGTGTTAAATACTTTCAAACTATTAATAACTGTAATAGTGCACAATTTTGTAGATGTCTTGCAGAATGTTCTCTTAGTACATTTTCCGCGGTCAGTGTTAACATGTAACCAGTTAAGTTGACGAGTGGGTTTAGGTAACGTGTTGATGTCGCTAGATTATGGTGGTTTTAATGTCCTGGTTTGGGGCGTGATTGATTTTTAATTAGGGTCCGTTTGATAAATGTCAGTAAGATAGACGAAGCAATGTGATTTTGGGGTCTAGGTATCGGTAAATGCCAAAGCTTATGTGGTGCAAAGACAACTTTGCAAATGTTGAAATAAGCATCAAAAGATGAACTGTCCAAGAAATTAGTTTATATACTCTTACATCAATGGATGTGCATTAATAATGGTGGTTTGTTAATTTGTTAATCCTGACTAATAAATTAAATAAGGGGTGGGTGGGGTATTTCTATGACAACATTTGATGTTTTAAGTATCCCATATAACAAAATCGATTGATCAGTGTTTCTGCCGAAAGGAAAAGTTTTGACTCCGAGGAGAAAAAAGAGATTATCTTTTCTCGTTTAAAAAATTGTCCAAGAAAAGTGTGTCTGGAAGATTGAGAGGTATGGAACCTAAAGGCACATGTATGATTCTGCTCTCATAGAAACAATTGAGCCTCGAAAGCACAATATATCTATCTCTATTTCAAGCAATTTCGTAATATGAGTTTGTAGTTATTTCTTTATTTGTTTTAAAATTATGCATCAATTTCTTCGATATGATTATGAATATAATAGTTGTCATAAAAATCATCATGCATTATAAGAATTTCATGCCTTACGTTTTTTTTTATAGGAATTTGAGAGAACTAAACGAATTAATTTGTCTTATATGATATTAATCATGTATCTTACGAATTTTCAGTCTACGATGTCTGCAGTGTGGTAGTTTATAGAGACGTCTAGCACTGGGGCATCATTCCGCAGTCATGTAGTATGATGTCCAGTACAGTCACATTATCCTGACACCAGGCTGATCAGTCCTAACACGAACTTCTTAATGTTGAGCGCCTTGAGAGGCAGCTGTTAGAACCATTTTTATAAGACTTTGGTATGAGTCGTCCGGAGTTCGAACCCTCGACCTCCCACATCCGAGGCGGACGCTCTAACAACTAGGCCACAGGAGAGGTCCAGTAAAGTTAAGAGAACAATGGATTTCGTTCATTCATTTGTATAAATAAGATGTGAATTATTTTAATCGAGAAACGAGCGCCTGCCGGCTAACAACTAATCCAATTAATGACTGGTAGTTCACAGGAGGGCGAATCGGTATATTATGTCTAGTTTATGTCTTAGTTAGGGATATTAAATAGCTAATTAGGATGATAAATTAGTTTTCTTGTTTTAGAGTTTGTTTATGAGCTGACCCATATTAGCCTTAGTTTCTGTTGAAATGCAACATCTGATTAAAAAGAGAGAGGTTGATGTTCTCTAACAGAAGTATTCATCTAACAAAATGTTTAAGCTGCTTAATTATTTATTTTTGAAATGGAAATATGTCCATTTATATCTCCTTTACAGAGAGAGAGAGAGAGAGAGAGAGAGAGAGAGAGAGAGAGAGAGAGAGAGAGAGAGAGAGAGAGAGAGAGAGAGAGAGAGAGAGAGAGAGAGAGAGAGAGAAGCAAAAGGAATGATGTGTCGACTCTAAATAGCCACCAACGTTGAATTTGGTAGAATCTTACCTTCAACCAAGCAGGATATGCAGGCCTACTGTACAATTGAGTTCGATCACTTACTCGATTTTATGATGAAATTTGTCTTATCTATATAAACAGAAAGACGTGTATCATTTAAAGGTCTTGTTCAATTTAAGTTTGTCTATATAAATAATTATATTGTTAAATTCTGTATTTTGGGGGCTCCTGTTGTTCTATTATATATTTCTGATCAGATCAACATTTTTTCGTCTATAAATTTCATAAATTATCTTAATGTTTACTCGATCTGTGCAATAACACCAAAGTCAATCATTCTCTATATAGCGAAAACTAAATTAAGCACCCCGTTACAGTAGGCAAATTAACAGAGTTATAAACCAGACCGAGTCTTCCAAGCTAAACTGAGAACCCTCGGTTTTGTTAAAGAGTGGATCGCTTCATCTACAATAGCATAGAGTTCCTGGTTGTATATCCTGTAATAGCTCTAACAGGATTCTCTCGAAATTGTCGGGTTAGTGTAGCCGGTCCTATCTGATTGGCTTGCCTACAGTTTCTTTCTGGGTGGAAGGAGGGCACCCTCACTCTGGTGGGAGGCTATCCCTCTCCTATTTTCAGTATGGCAGGCTTTTTTCTAGTGGCATTTGATGGTACCGTCTACTACCGGATGTTTCCTGGGTGTCGACCCACAGGACTGACCAATGATCCTCCAAGTTGCCATATGCCTTTCTACTCTGGTAACTCTCTTCGCTTGAGCTCCGATGTTTCTTCCTCCACATTTGACGGCAGACTGTCGAATAAACATAATGCGGTAAAAAAAAACAAAACAACAAACAACAACTTATCCAACTGTTCACTAAAGACTCTTGTATTGTGAAATGTCGTTTCAGTCTATCCGTCAGTCTTCTTTATAAGCTGACTGTGTTCATCGTTTGGGCGAAAAGTGATCTGGTATAAAATAATAGGAGAATAACTAGGAGAGAGAGAGAGAGAGAGAGAGAGAGAGAGAGAGAGAGAGAGAGAGAGAGAGAGAGAGAGAGAGAGAGAGAGAGAGAGAGAGAGAGAGAGAGAGAGAGAGAGAGAGAGGCAAAAGGAATGTGTCGACTCTAAATAGCCACCAACAATAAATTGGTAGAACCTTCAACCAAATGCAGGCCTACTGGACAATTGAGTTCGATCACTTACTCGATTTTATGATGAAATTTGTCTTATCTATATAAACAGAAAGACCTGGATTTGGAATCTTGAATGCATCTAAAAGATTAGTGGTGGGGATGGTGGTGGAGACCGACGAGATTCCTACTGCACCAGTCTAGTCACCAGTGAACCATAACCAAGGGAATGGGACTGGTACAATCAACAAGGAAAGAAGGGTGGGATTTGAGATATGGATGTTGTCGCGGGTTTGATGGGGTGGTGATAAAAGCAATAAGTGTTTTGTTTTAAATGATGGTTTCCATATTTAATTGCTTATTTTCCATGTTCTGCGTTAGAAGAGACCTATACTGCAAGTGTTGTGCTTGCAACAAAGGCGGAATAAATTATTTTCCTCTTGACAATTTAGTGCGCGTCGTTTTGTCACGCTACATTTCTCGCAGTTTTTAAATTGCCAACGCATCGAAAGACACTACAGCGGCGACTCCATAGGTCAGGTCATAATCAGCTACATAATTTAAGATAGAGTTCTATGTATGGAATTGCATTTGCATTTGTCGGGTATTAATCACATATAATCATATATAATCATATATATATATATATATATATATATATATATATATACATATATATATATATATATATATATATATATATATATATATATATATATATATATATATGGGATTACGTATATCTAAAAGAACATTATATGCGGAACGTGTACATTTGCTATATTAAGTCGCTACTTGAATATATGAAACGTGCGATATCGCTATACGAACCAGCACTGTAGCCCTCTACACTGATGTCAGTACGCTTAACCTGTATTTACCGTTGGCAGTGTTGCAGACATAAATAGAGAATAATCTTGAATTGTAACGTTTGATATAATTTTACATGTATATCTTTATTAATATGATTAAAAAGCAAGGTCGCGGTGTTATTGTACGGACGATACATGCCAATGGCGTGCTAAATGTTATACCATAAACATATACATTCAGCTGCATAGAAAACTCTCCAGCTTTAAAGCGATCAACTTGAGATTTCTCACAAATGTAACACGTAATTATGCATGCATAGCAACTTGAGATTTCTCACAAATGTAACACGTAATTATGCATGCAAAGCAACTTGAGATTTCTCACAAATGTAAAACGTAATTATGCATGCAAAGCAACTTGAGATTTCTCACAAATGTAAAACGTAATTATGCATGCATAGCAACTTGAGATTTCTCACAAATGTAAAACGTAATTATGCATGCATAGCAACTTGAGATTTCTCACAAATGTAAAACGTAATTATGCATGCATAGCAACTTGAGATTTCCCACAAATGTAAAACGTAATTATGCATGCATAGCAACTTGAGATTTCCCACAAATGAAACACGAAATTATGCATGCATAGCAACTTGAGATTTCCCACAAATGAAACACGTAATTATGCATGCATATCATCAGGGCTTGTTCTTTATTGTTAACAATGGAAATATTTTCCCACTAACACCACCACTGGTAGATAAGAAATGACCGTACAGAATTTAATTCAGCTATGATGACCTAGACAATTGTAATTTTAAAAGCTGATATAGTATAATCTTTCAATCTAAGCATAATCCAACAAATAATTTTTGGGTTATCATTGGCAAATAAAATTACTGTATAAAGTCTACATATCTATATTTTAGTCAACTCTGAACTGTGGTATGTAACAGTGTCCAATTACCTACTCAAAATGCAACAGATTAGTATAGCCCTGCAATTTGTAATCCGGTTACTTGGAAGGTACTAAGGTTGACTAACACAGTGGGAATTATTAAGCCTTATAATAACAACAGTTCTAATCAAAGTACTGAATTTCGAATCATGTCTTTCTTACAAAATATTTCTATGTTACCTTTGCAATATTTTCTATACGTGTCATCTTGTAATACAGATACACGTTCCTCTTTCAACTATGTGTTGGAGATATACCTTGTGATAATATTAGCAATAGCTAATTGCATTACGAGACAAGGCATGATGATCTACACCAAATTTCAAACAATTCAGATAAAATTCGAAATTCTTTTGTGGAGAGAGGATCGTACGACAATTCAGCGACCAGTCTATATTTCAAATGGAATGACAATATGAGTACTTAATTAAGTATATAGATTATTGTCACGTTATAATTTTGCATATAGATTTAGTTTTGATTACTTTGCTTGCCCAGATTTATGACTGAATTCCAATTCAATTTGTATAATAAAACATTGATGATATATATATATATATATATATATATATATATATATATATATATATATATATATATATATATATATATATATATATATATATATATATATATATATATATATATATAGAGAGAGAGAGAGAGAGAGAGAGAGAGAGAGAGAGAGAGAGAGAGAGAGAGAGAGAGACAGACAGACAGACAGACAGACAGACAGACAGAGACAGAGAGATAGAGACAGAAAGACAGACAAACAGACAGAAAGACAGACAGGGACAGAAAGAAAGAGAAAAGAGAGAGAGAGAAAGAGACAGACGGACACACAGATAGACAGAAACGAACTGCCTGAATGCGCAAATTGCTCATAATCCTAAACCTCAAACTTGACAACAGTTGTTAAAAAATCTATATTACTGAAGTTTGCGTGTGGAAGTAAATTTATAAAAGATCCTGAAACTTTTGATTCCAGTGTCATTATTATTAAAGTTGTGTATAATTTAAATATTTTAATTAAATGTGCTTCCTAACTTCGAGGGGGCATGATTTACGAGTAATAACGTGAAATGGAAAAAAAAAACTAATTTAGAAATATGGAAAAATGAAAACAAATTACCAACAATAGAGTAATTATACAGATAAATACTCCACATTGTACATAGCACTCTTCAAAAAAACAATTTTAGTCTGCTCAAATACTAGAAGAAAGGATTGATATTTTGTGACAAAAAAATTAAGGTACAGTTTTAAAAAAAATAATTTTTTTTCTCAATAAATGATGAACTTTACACAATGGTATTTCAATACCATTTCAATAAATATATAATCAAAAAATTGAAAGGTATAAATGACACTTGCTTGGCACGAGTGTATATCCAGTGAACTAAATTTTAGTTAAATAATTACAATATCGACCTACCACTCCTGTGGCCTAGTGGTTAGAGCGTTTGCGTCGGATGCGGGAGGTCGTGGGTTCGATCCCCGGTCGAGTCATACCAAAGACTTACAAAAATGGTACTAACAGCTTTCTCGCTTGACGTTCAGCATTAAGAGGCTAGTGTTAGGACT